TAATCTAAAAGACCACTCAGTAAAACTCATTCTGTAATGCCCAAAATGCCTGATGGCTTTTTTTTTTTTTTTTAGATGGAGTCTCACTCTGTTGCTCAGGCTGAAGGCTGAAGTGCAGTGGTACGATCTTGGCTCACTGCAAGCTCCGCCTCCTGGGTTCATGCCATTCTATTTTTTACCAATAATAACAATAACTATTTAGTCCATCCTCATCATATGACAGGTACCGTTTCAAGCCCTTCACATGAATTAACTCTTTCAGTTCCCAAAACATACAAATGAGATAGTTACTAGTATTATCCTAACCAATTAACAGGTTAGGAAACTGAGGCACAGAGCTATTGCCATGTGCCCAAGGTTATGCATCTAGTTGGTGGAGAAGCCAGGTTAGAATGAATCAGTTCAGCTCCAGAGTCCATAATGCACCCCTAATCACTATTCTGTACTGTCTCCAATCACTATTCCGTACTGTCTGCAAGTGAAATTCTCTCCTCTGTTAGAATCCAGAGGCCTTCGAAAGGCATATTTAAAAAAACAATTGTACTAACATAGCATAAAGTAAGTGAGAATCACTAATTCTTATTACTTGACGTTTTAGAGAAGCCTTTCGATTTTATCACTTCTAGTAACACGCTAAAATTCAACTGGCCAAGCTCAGTGACAAGCCAAGATGACGGTGGCAGAGCCCGCCCAGAGCAGCGCACCTTGGGGGTCATGCCGTTGGTGATGCAGAAGGCCAGGTGCTGCAGGATGCTCTCCATGCTGTGGTAGTGCTGCTGCCGGGTGGTGCGCAGGTACTTCTGGAGAGCCCTGGCCATGGAGGGGAAAATGGCCTGGGCGGCCTCCCTAGGGTCCATCACCTCCCCTGGGGCTTTCTGCTGCTCCTCGACCTGCAGACGCTGAATGTGGATGAAGGCCTCTTCCACTGCAACCACCAGCCTAGAAGGTGATGCAACACTAAGTAATTAGGATGGTGCCTGCCACAGGGTGTGCGAATAGAATGACACTTGTCCACCCTGCTGTGGCCTGACCTGCCAACATATTCAAGGCCCAATCACGCTGCTTGCATCCTTCCTTAGTTGTACCCCAGACGGTGGAGAGGGAGGAAGGGAGAAAGAAAAGCAACAGCAAAAATAACATGTGAAACAGGGGCCCCAGGTGTCGGGGGGAAAGAGCCCCAGGACTGGGAGATGAAACTCTGTTCTCAATTCTGTCACCAATGAGCTTGGGAAATGCACTTAAGTCCTTTTTTCATCTCTGCAATGGTTAGATGAAAAGAGTTCTAAGGCCTCTCCAACTGGCTATAAAAGACTCTGTACAGACAGAGGTGGTTGGTGGTGCAGAAGCAGCCCTGCAAAGAAGCAGAGCTGCATGCTCCCTGGTCCAGCCACCCACACTAGCAGCCCCTGGGAAACAGGAAGAGGCACAGCACACATGACGGAATGCACTTCTGTCCCCTTCAGTGAATATGACCTGATGGTGAACACCGGCAAGGGTCCAGGGGTGCAGAACAGGCCCACTCAAGTGTGGGCAGGGGCCCAGGAGGACCAGTACCACCCAGGAATCTGTTAGAAATGCCATTTCTTGGGCCCAACTCCACACCTACTGAGTAGGGCTTTTGCAGGCAGAGCCCGGAACCTGCATCCTGTATTTGAACAGCCCTCCCAGTGATGCTCATATAGCCTTCAGTTTAAGAAACACTGGAGCAAGGTGCACTCCAGAGGTGTCCCCACAGGTCATGTTTTTAAACAGAAACCTCAGTCTAGTGGTAAAAAAGGAAAGATTAAAAGTCTACAAGAGGCCGGGCATGGTGGCTCATGCCTGTAATCGCAGTACTTTGGGAGGCTGAGGCAGGCAGATCACTTAAGGTCAGGAGTTTGAGAACAGTCTGGCCAACATAGCAAAACCCCTTCTCTACTAAAAATACTAAATGTTAGCTGGGCGTGGTAGTAGGCGCCTGTGATCCCAGCTACGTGGGAGGCTGAGGCATGAGAATCACTGGAACCTGGGAGGCAGAGGTGACAGTGTGCCAAGATCTTGCCACTGTACTCCAGCCTGAGCAACAAAGTGAGATTCTGTCTCCAAATAAATAAATACATAAAAAAAATAAAAATTCAAAAGTCTGTAAGAGGGTACTGGCATCAGGAGGGCAGTATACCTTGCTTTCCGCTTCTTTACTCGCCGTTCGTGTTCAGCCTCTTCGTAATACAGCTCATTGTGGCTTGAGTCCCTGCGCCGAGCAGCTGCAGCAATCATGGCCCGGGACTGGCCAGTGGCATTGTTACTGGGGCCTTCGGGGAAAGGACAGTGAAAGAATAGTGTTAATACCACAAGGCTGGGAAACAGAGCAGAAAACTAGTACCGCAATCTGTCAATGTTGTCTACCCATCCCCTATGAAACACACATACACAAATACTAAAGGTCACTTCCCAGGAGGGTAAACTGTGCCCCGGATCCGCATTCACTATGTCCAAGGCAAGAGAGCAGAGGAATCTCCCTAAACCCCAATCTGGTCAGTGGAAATGGAAAAAGAACTCAGAAGGGGATGAAGAATGCTTGACAATTAAAATGTTGGCCAAAAACAACACACAGAGTGTGCTGAAGATGTTACCATCTGTTACATAAAGTTTCAGTTTGGCCATAAGGGCATCTGGGACATCAAATTTCAGCAACAAGACAATGAGACAGAATGAGAGGGATGGGGAGAACAAGGACAGACAGACAAAAAAGAAAGTCAAAGGACATGAGACACTGAGTCTACAATGGAAAGCAAGCTATGCTGGAATGTCATGGCAGCTACAACTTTTACAGGAAATACCAATATTAATGACCCATTAATGAATACAGACTCAGAAGTCCTGTCCTGTCCTAACCATTGACCACCTTAACTTTTCAGAAACATAGGCAGATTTCTGGCTTTCTTATGGATGATCTACTTGGCTGGTGACTTGGTTTCACTAGTGGGAATCTTTGCTAAGTTTTCAGATCACAGATTAAATTTACCAATCTTTCAGGCTTCGTGAGGGAGCTCACACCTCATATAGCCAAAAAATAAACAATTAAATAACTGGGAGGATATTACCACCAAAAATTGACACTGTATATAAATCACTTGACTCGTTGACAATATAATCCTCTCTGAGGGTTTGCAAAGTTCTTGCCCTCACCCAGTGTACCCAGTAAGAAATGACACCGCATCCTGTTTCTTGCACTTAACCATCTGATACCCTGAAACATAGCTTGGACTTACCCAGTCTGGCCTCCAGCCTCCTGCCACCCACTCAACTCCGGCTCCTAGCCACGAGTAAGAAGTGCCTGTAGGTATCTCACCAGATGCCTGAACTACTGAGATTTCTAGTCTTAATGATTTAGGTAGCTTTCTGAGTCTGTGGGTAATGTGCATAAATTTTGAAAAGCAACCCTTTCCTAATAGCTTCCAATATAAGGTGAGCCTGGCAGAAGGCAGGAAACACACACCACTGCTGTTTTCAATCATAAAATCTCAAAATGAACAGGCTTCCCACATAGGTAGATGGTAAATCAACACTTCTCTAAAAATGTGTCTGCCTACATAAAATAGAGAAATTGTTCTGAAACGAGAATGTACCATAAAGGTAGGCCCAGAGAGGAAGCAGAACCAAACGTACCATGAAGCTTAAATAGTCACCCAACTGTGCCCCTATGAGCACTGCAGACACCCTTTCAAGGCACATACCATCTACATTGTAGACTTTCAGCCCAGCCATGTGCTTGGCTGCTCGGAATTTGGAGGCTGTTAGGAGGTTTGGGTTATAGATGGTGAAATCTTTGTAGTAATTTTCTAGGACCACCAATGCTGCTCGTTGGATACTGAGAAAAAAAGAACAAAATTAATGCAAAGCTTTTTCACTGAATACGCAGGTCCTAAATGAAAAATCCTCTTTTAGAGTTAGGTCAAGGAACACAACATCAAAGATCATCTCATACAGAAGTCCACTGGGTTCTACCACACCTCTGGTCTCCAGGATGAGAACTTAAAGCTGAAACTAAGCCCCATGGCCAAGTGGCTTCTGTGCCCTCTCCTGGACCTGTGATTAGCCGTATCCCATCTACCCCTTTGTTGAAAGAGGAAGAAGTTGTAACTCATAACTTACATTTAGTTTTAGGCACCCAAGAACTTTTTCTATATTTCCTCGGTTTACAAAAGAAGAAACTGAGGAACCCCCCCCAAAGGGCAAGAGGCTTACTAATGGTTGCAGGGCTAATAAGTGAAAGAACAAAGTATAGATTCAGGTTTCTAAGGTCCTCATTCAAGGTTTTGTCCCCTAGGCCTCGGTGCCCCTGGGTGTGAGGAATCCTGGAACTTAGGTTTTATACAGACCAGAACAACTGCAGCCATCCAGGGCAGAGTGTACTTAAGAGGGCCTCAGCCGGGCACGGTGGCTCATGTCTGTAATCCCAGCACGTCGGGAGGCTGAGGCGGGTGGATCAGGACTTTGAGACCAGCCTGACCAATATGATGAAACCCCCTCTCTATTAAAAATACAAAAACTATCCGGGCGTGGTAGCACATGCCTGTAATCCCAGCTACTTGGGAGGCTGAGACAGGAGAATCACTTGAACCTAGGAGGCGGAGGTTGCAGTGAGCCAAGATTGCGTCATTGCACTCCAGCCTGAGCAATAAGAATGAAACTCAGTCTCAAAAAAAAAAAAAAAAAAAAAAAGGGGGCCTCCACAGAGACCACCTGATCTTTCTGGGTCCCCCTACCCCTTGGACTGCTATCTCTGGCCTTTGGCAGAGCGGTATGAAGGTGACTATCCATGTTCTGATATTCTAGGTCTCCAACCTATCCTCTGCTTGGTCGTCAGAGAGCAGCAGGGGAACAAAGAACAGGTACCATCAACAAGTGGGAGAGAGGATGTGGGAAGGCACTTACAATTGGAAATGAGTCTAGACAGCAAAAGAATATGCTCTTGGTCTACAGTGCATGACACTTGCCACTTTAAGAACACCTTGCAATGATACAGCAAGGGTTTGCACATCCCTGATTCTCATTTCACCCTCACAGTCATTCGAGGTAAGAAAATTGAGGCTCAAAAATCTATGACCTGCACAACAGCATGTAGTCAATAAGTAGGAGACCTGGAACTCTGACATGATTTACAAACCTCCAAGTTGGGCTTTCTGGGAATACGCAGCCTCTGTGTAACGGTGTACGTGCTGACATCTCCAACCACCACCATGTTAAATACCATAGATATATTTTTATCTTGCCCTTTAGATTTTCCTTTCTAGTACTCTGCTAAGCAGATCGGCTTACAAGGATTATTTGCAGTCGCCGGAGCACCAGGACGGGGCTCCCTTTGATTCCTGGATGACGGCACTGTGTTCCAACACTCTCAGGGTGGCTCAGGGATCTTCACTTCACACCAAGGCAAGGGAGCTCCTAAACCATCCGCTGGAAATTCTGTCGACCCACCTCTTTGGCTCCCCTTGGAGCTCTGCTTCAAGACTTTAACAGAGTTGAATCTGGAAGTCAGTCAGCTAACCTGCTTAAGAGCAGAATCATGGCAAAGCTTTCTGAGTTATATCCCCAGCGGTGCCTGCATTCAGTTGGTACTTAATGTTGTCCTAGATAATGTACAGTCATGTGAGGCTGGGGAACACTATCAGGGGAAATCTGGTGAGACCAACTTTGCAT